GGGGGGTGTCTGCCTGGTGGGGGGGGAGGGGGCGGCCGTCTGCACTGAGGGGCTGGCGGGGGCCACTGGAGTCTGGGGTGTGCCCCCCGCTTGCGGCGGGACGGGGGTGGCTGTGGTTCTGCGGGCCTGCGCCTGGGGCGCAGCAGGCAGCAGGCCTGCGCCGGTGGGAGCGGCTCGGTGTGTTTGGGGCTGAGCTCCGGTGTCGGCAGGACGGCCCGGGTTCACAGTGTCCTGGGGACAGGAGCCTTTGTTTGAGGCCAGCGGGGGCAGGAGCCCTGGCGTCACAGACTGGCTTTCTGTAGTTAACAGACCCGCTTCAGTGGGCCTTACTCCACCCGCACGTTTAGCCTGTCACGCCCCTGAAGTTTGGAAGGTGCTCCGTTTTCTCGGGTTCAGAGATGGGCGTCCTCTTCCTCCCACGACCGAGAAAAGAGAAAAGCGCGGAGTGACCTGATGGCCTCCCCCGTTGCCCCTTGCAGACATCCGGGGGCGCTGCCCCTGCCCAGGTGGTCCACACCCAGCCGCGAGCGGTCGGCTCCCCAGCCACAGCCTCGTCCGACCTGGTGTCCCTGGCGCCCACCCAGAGTGTCCGCGCAGTTACTTCTGTGACAGCCTCGGCCGTGGTGACTACGAGCCTGGCCCCGGTGCAGACCCCGACCCGGTCTTTGGTGACTCAGGTGTCCCAAGGTAAAGGCAGGTTCGGTTTCCTGTGTGACCCTTCTCACCTTTAAAGCGAGCCAGGACCCGAGCGTCCGTGTGTCGCGGGAGAAGGGGAGGACCACGTGCGCACGTGGTCTCATGGAGCCCCCTCTCTAGCCGCAGGGGTGCAGCTGCCAGGGAAAGCCGTCGCACCCGCACACTTCCAGCTGCTGCGGCCGCCGCCGCCACCGCCGCCGCCCTCCCAGGTGCAAGTCCCGCAGATCCAGGGCCAGGCCCAGTCTCCGGCGCAGATCAAAGCTGTCAGCAAGCTGACGCCGGTGAGTATCCTGCAGGAAACCACACACGTGCCATCTGATACCTCGTGTGTCACGTAATTCCAAGCATCCTTCACGCAGATTTGCTGTCATCTCTGTGGGAAGTGTGTTTGCATTGTCTTTAAAAGCCACTTTCCGTACAGCGCCCCCTCTGCGATCATGTGAGCAGCCTGTTCCCAGCGCTCTGGACACAGGTCTTCCCACTTGCTTCCTGGTCCTCTGTGCCGCAGCTCGGGCTCCGGACAAGGAGAGGCCGCTCGGTTCCATTCCCAGCTGGAGAAAACGCTGGTGGCGCCTGCTTCCTTTGCAGTGTTGTTTCTCATGATGATCAGAGTCCTGCCTTTCCTGATTTTTGCCACTCTGCACCATCTGTGCAATTACGTGTAAAAATACATTCGCTTTGAAGGGAAACTCTGTATTTCTGCCAAAATGGGAAAGTGCTGCTGCTTGGCATGGAGAGTGAGTAGAGAGACAGAGCTAATAGAAACAAGACAGTGTTCTAGAATTCCAGCTAGTCCCCAGGCCTGCTGCAGTAAGTACCTGACCTCGGGCCTGCCCTTTTCGCCCGCAGAGGGGGCACCAGGGCGTGCCGTAGGGCTGCTGGGGGGGCACACCAGTCTTCAGCCGAGGCTTTGCACGTGAGGCCGGGGCGCCCCAGAGGAGGGGCATGCAACCCGATAAAGCGTTCACACTTGGTCTTAGCCAGAAGGCCCAGGAGTGATCCCAGATAAGACATTCAGCTCCTCAGTCGCACCAGCCACATGTCAAGGGTGCTGTTACTCCCAGACGGGACCACCCTGGTCTAGAACACGCCCATCACTGCAGAAGTCTGGGGGACGGCCCTTAAGTTAGAAAGTTACTGGGCCCAGCCCCTCCCTTCCTCCCCCACACCCTTCTACCTCACCCCCAGCTGCCTTCCCTTCTCCCCACGCCCTGCCTCTCCCCAGGACACGAGGGCCTGCCCGTGGCTGCCAGGGCGCTGCTGACTCGCTTGTTCGCCCGCGCCTGGCTTCTCCAGTCTGCCGTCGCGGGAGTCAACTTCAGAGTCATAGTCATTTTAAGCCTGACAGATTTGATAGTTATGAACTACACAGCACAAGTTCTCTAAAAAGAACATGGGTTCCTTAACATATTTTTTGGGCTATTGTGACATCTTGATATTTTAACTTAGAGACCCGAGATTTATTTATTAACTGTATTCATTTGGAGACACTTAGAACAAAAAGTTGAGAGCTGCTACACGTCTCCTAATAAATTTTAAAAATTCAACGATTATGATTTGAAGACTTTAAAAATGTTATAGTCCTACAGATTTAAGGTGACTTGTTTGCAAGTGAGAAAAACGAAGAAATTTTGCTACGAATTTACTCCTCTGTCAGAGTTACCGTTTTTCGTTTTCATCACTGATAATGCTGATTTTTAATGAAGGAACTTTTTTTTTTAACGTCAGGAAGTCCCTGGAGTGGGTTTGCATGTTGTGTAGTAGCAACTGTCCGCCTGGGTGTGAAGTTCAACAGTAACTGAAAACCAAGATTTATGAAACAATGGAATGCAGTTAATATTGATGAAAAGCTACTTTATCTGGGTTTTAGGAACATCTGATCAAAATGCAGAAGCAGAAACTGCAGCTGCCCCAGCAGGCCCCCCAGCCGCAGGCCCCGCCGGGGCCCCCACAGCCCGCCGCACAGGTGCAAGTGCAGGCCCCGCCACCCACGCCGCAGCAGAGCCCCCAGCTGGCCACGGTCACGGCCCCACGGCCCGGAGCTCTGCTCACGGGCACCACCGTGGCCAACCTCCAGGTGGCCCGGCTCGTAAGTTCCCGTTGATAACATTTGTTTTTCCAAAGCGATATGTCTCGTAACGTTTACGTGAACGGTTCCTGCTTGCTCGGCCGACGCTAGGCTTTCTGGCGGACCCCCGGCAGAGCGGCAGGTGGGTGACCTTCGCTGCCCATGCCTCCCGGGGCTTCGGTGCCAAACAGCTCAGGGCGGGCCGAGCAGCTGGACGAGGCGGGGAGGGCCAGGTTCTGGTGGGGATGAGGCCCCGGGCAGGGAGATGGGCGGGGCCTGCAAACCAGGCTCTGATGACCCGGTGCTTCGTCGGCCCAGAGATTGGAGATTTCTGAAGAGGACCAGAATGTCACAGTGAAATCACTGTCTGGGAAGATGAGTTAAATTCAGCAAGCACGGGGCTAATGTGCTGTGGACCAGACACTGTCCCATCCGGCGAGCCCATCTCCTCCCTGGGGAGCCCCCCGTTCTGGCCCTAGTGACCGCCCACATCAGGGACCCTGCTCCGGGCCAGGCGCTGCCCTAGGCCCTGGACCTCCCACGTGCTCAGTGCTCTCAGGCTGCTGCTCAGGCAGGAGGAGTGGGTGTTTTAGTGTACGCCCACTGTGCAGGTGTGGAAACTGAGGCACACAGCTTAGGTACCTCGCCCAAATCCTACTGCTAGTTGCCTGCAACTGGGGGACCCGTACTGGGTCCTCAGGCCTGCTTTGTGTTGCCTTGTCCCTGCTCTAAGTCTGCAAGACAGGGTAGAAGCGGACAAAAACTGTGAAAGCAAGACAGGAAGCGGAAATTCAAACAAGGTGGGGGGTCACATGGTGGCCAGGGTGTAGGGGAGGCACGTTCCTCCTGCGGGGGGCTGCCCGACGGAGATCAGCTTCTGCGCGGGTGGGGGGTAGTTCCAGTAATCCAGCTGCAGATCGTGCTCACCAGTTCACCCAGCGGTCCCGGGTCTGCTCCCCACTGAAGAACTAGCAGAAAGAACACTGTGGGCCAGGCACACGCCCCTGTTACCTCGGGAGGGTTAGAGGAGAGGCACAGGTCCCCCGGAGCCGGGCGCGTACCGCGTAGTGCAGAGCACCCACTCGTTGGGACAGCACCCGGCTTTGGACGATTATTGTAAAGGGCAGAGAAGCTGACCACAAGATACTTGTGAGTCCTGTTTGCACGCTTTCACAGCAAGTAACGCAGGTAAGAACGTCTGACGGGCTCAACACTGGTTTTCACATTCATGTGTGTGTGGTTTCAGGGTTAGTTGAGTGTTTGTACAGGTAAAGTGGATCTGTTTTCCTGTTTTCTGAAGACGTAACGTAAGAAATAATGAGCATTTGGTAGCAGTGTGATGATTGATAGCAGCAGGTGGGAGAACTTTCTGGAAGAGTGTGGCAGAGGTCACAGGGCAGGGCGGCAAGCCGACCTTCAGTCGTAGCGGAAGGAGGGGGTGGGCAGGATGGGGCTCCTCTGAGGTTCGGGGGCGGAGAAGTAGAGGTGCAGGCTGCACGGTGGGGTCTGGACGTGTGGGTCTGAGTGTGGGTGAGCAGCATGTGGGGCTCATCAGGCCCCCTTCCCCACAATCGCTGGTGGCGGGTTAAGAAGCGTCGCTGAGCCTACAGTGCAGTCAGTGTGTTTCTTCCGCTGACAGCCACTTTTCACCTTTGTGAATCGTTTCTCACCGCTGACTTCTTGTGGGGAAATGTCTGCGTGGACGCGTGCTATTCCTAATATCTTTGGACTCTCCCATTATTTTCACTGTTTAGACCCGGGTTCCCCCTTCGCAGCTGCAGGCGCAAGGGCAGATGCAGGCCCAGGCGCCCCAGCCAGCTCAGGTGGCGCTGGCGAAGCCTCCGGTGGTGTCCGTGCCTGCGGCCGTGGTCTCCTCGCCGGGCGTGACGACCCTGCCCATGAACGTTGCTGGGATCAGTGTGGCCATCGGGCAGCCACAGAAAGCCGCAGGTACCTGTTCCGTGCAGCCCCTCGCCCCCCACCCCTTGCTGTGCCTAGAGCCTCAAGCAGGGCCGATGGCCAGAGGCCCTGGCAGCTTCCGTGCCAGACCCCTGTGGTGAGCGTGTCAGGGCACCTTTAGCCGGGTGCCCCTCAGTTTCCCAAGTACAACAAGGTTTGGCCTTTGATTTAACTGTTAACGTTCGGAGCTCCCCGTACCTTTACGTGGATGTCCTTGGGGGCCCGGAAACCACCTAAGCATTCCTGCGGGATGGCTGTTTGTCCGGCACACATCCCGTGTGGAGTTTCCTGTCAGGACACAGTCAATCTGAACCGCCCAGTGGCTCAGGGAGATGCAGGGAAGCCTTGAGAGCTGGGTCCATGACTAAGGCCTGGTTGTGTTCACAGGACAGACGGTCGTAGCCCAGCCCGTGCACGTCCAGCAGCTGCTGAAGCTCAAGCAGCAAGCCGTGCAGCAGCAGAAAGCCGTGCAGCCGCAGGCCGCCCCGGGCCCCGCCACCGTCCCGCAGAAGGTACCGGGTTCCTGCAGGGTTCTCCCAGCACCGCCTCCGCGCCACGCTGGGCCCCATGCACCTCGCCGCCCTACGGCCCCGTGCCCATGCGCTCAGGCTGCTCGGGGGGGTTCGGGGCGGGAGCTGCGGGGAGAAGGTGGTGACGGGATGGGGAGCCGGGAAGTGGGCTGTGGAATTGCATGGCCGGGAAAGGGCCTGGACTCCGGGATGCAGCTGTAGCTCTCAGAGTGAGTGCCTGGGCCCCCGGCACACAGGATGGAGGCGGCCTTGCATGTACTCCGGTGAGGGGCCAGGCGGGGGCTGTGTCCTGGTGCGTGTGAGTGCACGTGTGCGTGCTGTGAGGGGCGGGATGGGATGAGGGGAGAGGGGCCTGCCGGAAGGAGCAGTGTCGGCATCTTGCTGACTCACCGGTGTGAGAGCACATAGCTCTGGGCTGACTCGGGCCCGCGGGCCGTGCACCGTGCAGGGGCCCCACTGAGAGGAGCAGAGAGTAGGCGCTGTGTTTCTCACGACTGCTGCTCTACGTACTCGTTGGAAGCTGGCAGCCCGCCGCGTAGGCAGTGATGCTCTGGTGCCCGAAGTGCGTGTTGAGCCTGCTGTTTCCTGAGCTGGAGCGGGCCGTCGCTCTGGTGCTGGATTTCCGAGCAGGGCTCCGTGTTAGCCAGAGGGCACAGAGTCTGAGGGAAAGGAAGCGACTCGCAGTCGCAGAGCTGACCATAGGACCACAGGGTTCTGTACGCATCACACGTGTCAGACGGACAGCTCTTCCCCGACTGTCACTGTCCCGCTTGCAGGAGCGAAGCTCAGGTCTGCTAGGGGCTGAGGTCCCGCCCGCCCCTGGCCCCACTGCATCTGTGGGGACAGCAGAGGGAAGGGACAGCTGAGGCGAGGGACGTGGTTAGGGCGTGCAGGGGCGGACGCATGTGGGATGCTGGTAGAACCGCGCAGGGTGGGCCTCGAGCAAGAGCCGCCTGGGCAGCAGGTGTGCCCTCGGGACCTCCTGGGCTGGTGGAGCGGTGGCCTTCGAGAAAGGTGTGTCTCCTCTGATTGGAGAGCAGTCAGCACACCCACCTCTGGGAGCCACCTTCTTCCCTGTGGCGGACACTTGGAGGAAGACACACGCTGAGTCCCCTTCCCAGTCCCTTTGGGCCATCCTCGGGCTCGGCGCCAGGCGTGCAGGGAGGGACAGCGGGAGGCGCTGGTGCTAGGGTGCCGAGGACACCAGTGGTTGGGCCTGAGTCATCGTAGGGCCAGCGTACCTGGTGGGTGGGGGCGGGGGGGTCTTTGGCTGTAGTGTCGGTCTGACGTCACGTGACTCGAAACTTGTGATGCTAAAGACTACTTGTGGGCAGCCGTGGCCTTGAAAGCAAACATGTAGACTGCCCGGTCTTCCGAACAGCCCTCACTCTTCTAGCAGAGAAAACTAGAAATGGGGTTAAACACGCAAAGGTTGTGCATGTGGGTTTGTTGTCTCTTAATGCTGAGTAATTTGGGGTGCATGCTCAAATCTTAAAATTAGATTCAGGAAATTGTAGGTGGGTGATTTTGTATTGTGGTGGAGTTTACTCACTATCCAAGGAGCAGACAAGACCTGTACAGACGACATAAAGGTGAACCCCAGCCTGGTCTCTGAGGGGACTTGGGCACGGCTGGTGACACACACGTGGGGCACGCTGGAGCGGGGCTGGGAGCCTGGGCTGGGGGTGCAGGGGGCCCTGAGGGGATGCCAAGGGCCTGAGGAGGCGATGTGTGGCCTCGCCTGCTCTAACCTGGGGCTGTCTCTCTTTCTTCAGATCACTGCGCAGCAGATCGCTGCTCAGGGCCAGCCACAGAAGGTCACCTATGCCACCCAGCCAGCCCTTAAAACCCAGTTTCTTACCACACCCATCTCGCAGGCCCAGAAGCTGGCCGGGACTCAGCAAGTGCAGACCCAGATCCAGGTGAGCGCGCGTGCAGGGACTGCACACCAGTGGTCTCGTGCGGGGCGCGGAGACTGACAGCGGCAGGTACCGTGAGGGCAGCACCGTGGGCCCCCGGCTCCTCAGAGGTGGCTGTCCCCCGACATTCCTCCCTGGCTTTGCCGCTCATGGGATCACAGCAGTGGGGCCTGGGGGCCGTGCTGAGGTCATGCTCCGGGGACGCTCTTCACGTCTGTGAGGCTTCTCCAGGGGTCAGCGGTCAACTATCTGCTTTGTGACCCCACGTGCACCATTACTCCGCTGCCAGCAGCCTTGCGGGCTGCTCCTGGCTGTGCTGCCGGCCTGTGGCTGCTTAACGGAAGGGGGGAGGGGGACGTGAGCCGAGCCCAGCACGGTGACTGCTTCGTGCGGGTGAGCATCGCACGTGGCCGCAGCGGCGTGGGCACATCCCTCGGCCTCTGCGGTGGTCCCAGCCCGCAGACCTGCACCTGGCCTTGTCCTTCACGGTGCGCTGCCTGTTTCCTCTGGTGACTGCCGTGGCCCCGCCTTCCCAGACCCCGTGGACTGGCAGGTCTCTTCTGTGAATCAGCACCCGTTCCCGCGTTTTCCCGGCGTCGCTTCCACTCTGGCGGCTGCCCCGGGTCTCTGTACGCGCCGTCGGCCTCCAATCTCCACACTTACTGTGTGGCGTCTTCGGATGAACAAAAATTCTTAATTCTAACATATTTGAATTCATCAGTCTTTTTATTTCTGAACGGTGTTTTTTATGTTTTGCTTAAGAAACCCTTTCTAGGGGCGCCTGGGTGGCTTAGTCGGTTAAGCGTCCGACTTTCGCTCAGGTCATGATCTCGCGGTTCGTGGGTTCGAGCCCCACGTCAGGCTCTGTGCTGACTGCCGGCTCAGAGCCTGGAGCCTGTTTCAGAGTCTGTGACTCCCTCTCTCTCTGACCCTCCCCTGCTCACGCTGTCTCTCTCTCTCCTAGAAAAAAAAAAAAAAAAAAAATTAAAAAAAAAGGAAACCCTTTCTAGACGTCATGATGTTCCTTTCCTATATCAACTTCTACAGATATCATAGTTTTTCATTCACACTTAAGTTTTTACCCTTTTGGAATTGTTTTTACCAGGTGATATAAAAACAGATTCATTTAAATCTTCCCATCAGAACACGCTGGTATTTTTGGCACTGCTTTCCTTCTCATCCGTAGTACGGCATTGGCGTCAGTCACGTGAGGTTGTGCTGGGAGCTTTCTCCAGCGCCACACTCTCCGTGCGTCTGTCCCTCGGGCTGCGTAAGAGACTCTGCATCTGGGAGGCAGAGCCTCTGCCTCGTCCCACTGGGAACGGCCTGCTGCTCGTGGCTCTTTGTGCCTCCCCGCTCCGAGGCAGCCGGTGATGTTTACACACCACCGTGTGAGCTTCGGCAGCGCGCGCACTAAAGCAGGACGGGAACAGAGCTCCTGGCCTGTAGGTGACTCTGGGGGAAGGTCGGTGTCGTGGCAGCGTTGACTTCAGATTCACCAACACAGCGTGTCTTTTGTTGTTGAACCTCTTTAAAACCCTTTAGCTTTTCTGACTGTTTTCGGGAAGGTCTTGTTTCCTGTATTGGATTTGTTCATAAGTAATGAGTATTTTCTGATGCTTCTGCAGTAGTGTGTTTCTGAGTCTCTGTTTTCTGTCTGTGCCTTGCCCGATCCCTGCAGCTTCCTTGACCTTGAATCCGGTGCCTCCGTCAAGCCCCGCTCCTTCAGCAGTCCATCCATGGCCTCCTGCACTTCCTTTGTCCCCCCAGCACGTGGCCTGCGGGGAGTGGTGGCCGGTGCCCCCCTCTTCCCCTGCCTTCCTGCTTCACTGTGCTGGCGAGGCCCACAGAGGCCCTGACGGGGGTATGGACGGAGACTCAGCCGGATCTGTTCTCGTGATCATCTGCAGGGTCTAATTTGTTCAGTCATCCTTCATTGGAACACCAAAATTTCCTTCTTCACCTAGTTTGCTAGAAATTGTGTTCCTTTTTTGTGGCATTTTAACAGTGTTTTTAGAGGCACTCCTTCCCTTGGTGACACCCCCCCCCCCCGCCGCCGCCATCTCGACACCTCGGTTCTCTGTGCCCGTGACTCCAGATTCACACCTGCAGCCGATCGCTAGTCCCATTCCAGACTCCCAGTCCTAACTGCCCTTGGACAGGTCCCCAAAGATGCGTGACTCTGTGGGGCCTCAGCACCCCCATGGCCTTGCGCCTTGCCTGGGCCAAACTCGCAGCTGTCTGTCCCGTCTTTATCTTACACTGCAGACCCAGTCCGCCAGTGAGTCTGCTGTGAGGCTGTGCCCTCCTGCGGGGTCAGCGCACTTGTCAGGCCATCCTCTCACTGGGTCAAGTTCACTACTCATGTTACCCCAGACCTCTGCGTCCTTACTGATCAGTTACTGACGGAGATGTGTTGAGATCTCCTGCTCTGGTTATGCACTTCTCCTTGTATTTTTTTCCGTTTTTGCTGCTTATGTTAGCCTCTTATTAGCTATACTTAGATTAAGGATTTGAATCTTACGTCTTTGCTGCTGTTGTTTCGGGAACTGTAGTCAGAGTAGTTACTTTCTTGTGCGCCAGCTCTCCTTGAAGCCTGTCTTTGGGATCGCTTCGCCGTCTGGGTTGCAGGCCGAGTCATGCTCCTGCCGGGCTCCCGGGGGCTCTGCCAGGGCCGGGTCCGCCGTGGCTTGGGGGTCAGTGTCCCTCAGGTAACGTCAGTTGGGTTCTGCGCCTGCGTCCCTTCCCCGGCCAGCACCAGGGCCTCAGGCGGTGGGCTTCCTCGCAGACCCCCTCCCGGTGATGGGACCACAATGGGGCCTCGCTCACAGTGGATCTGAACTGGGCCCCTCGTCTGCCGCACCCGGGCGACCGTGAGAATCCCACGCGGGGCCTCCTCACGCAGCACGCGCTCTCTGGGTGAGCGCTGCTGCAGCGCCTCCACCCATTGCTGGAGGGGCTGCCTCGGCTTCGGTTTGGAACCAGGACTTCCTCGCCTCCTGCAAGTCTATTGATGCATTTAAAACGTGTCAGTGTCATCCACGGGGTCTCCGTGTTTTCATGGTGTGCCCACAGAGCCCCCGCCCGCTGTGTGCAAGCGGGGCCCCCGTCCAGCCGCCCGAGGGTCTGCTCCTCGCCAGCGTTGTAGAGGACGCGCTCGAGTGCCCTTTTTGTCTCCGCAGATCCTGCGACAGTTTTTAATACAGTGAACTGGTCAGTGCTTTCCACGTAATTTCCGTTTTTATCATGAGAACCAGCCTTTACTGGGAGCTCTGTCATTTACAAGTGTGTCCTGAAATTTCATGTCTTCTCCAGAATTGTCTCGGACAAGACTTCTTTCCATCCCTGTTCTAGGAGTTAGAGCCCCAGGTGGGGGCATCCGGCCCCCAGCAGCTGCCCACTCAGGAGCCCAATCCGTTCCTGAGCCAATGGCCCCGGGTAGACCCAAGTGGCCAGAGTCTGCTTTTTGCCTCGGGACAGCCACATATGCACGTGGCAGAATGTTTGCAGAAGGCAGCGGCAGGGTGGGACGTCACATTTTGTTGGGAAGGGAGATCTCGGTGGTGATTGAGAAGAATGTGGCAGCGTGATGAAATAACCACCTGAAAATGTTGGGGCATCTTCAGAGCAGGCTGAACCCTGGCTTCAGTGAGGCTGCCCCACGGGACGTGGCCCAGACTTGAAGAAGGGGCTCTCGTGAGAACTCTGGAAATGCTAAAAATGTTTCATTCTGCTCTCGATTTTATTCTCTTATGTAAACTCTCTCATACGAACACTTCTTAAGAAAAGAAAAAATGTGGGTGAAATGAGAGACCTGGGGAAGCTGTTATCCGTAACCGGCTTGCGGACAGGGGGACGCGGTATAGGGGGAGGGGGGGGGACACAGGGTCTCTCAGGCTCCAGTTGGGCAAACTGAGAGCTGCTCTCTGGGCCATCTGGATGCCAGTTTTGTTTTGTTTTTTCTTTTTTTTTTTTGTAACGTTTACTTACCTTTGAGAGTGAGAAGGAGGGACAGAGAGAGGAAGACAGAGGATCTGAAGCCGGCTCTGCACTGACAGCTCCAGTGCGGGGCTCAAACCCATGAACTGCGAGACCATGACCCGAGCCGAAGTCAGATGCTTAGGACTGAGCCCCTCAGGCACCTCTGTTTTTGCTTTTGCGTTGAGCTGAAGGAAAGAAAGGGGGAGAAAGATGTCTTTTCGTGCACATGTTCTTTTGAATTCTACATTTGGCTTTTCTTTGTTTTGTCCAAGGTTGCCAAACTCCCTCAAGTCGTCCAGCAGCAGACGCCTGTGGCCGGCATTCAGCAGGTGGCCTCTGCTTCCCAGCAGGTAGGAGGAAGACCCCGAGGCGTGCGCTCCTCCGGGGAGTCTCGTGCTGACTTTTCAGTAAACTTCACGTTTCCCTTTAGGGGAGGAGTTCTTGGTTTTCATTGTGAGAAATAGAATGTTAACAGATAGTCACTTTTGATTTTCATAATTCAGAAAAAACTAACTTTGGGGAAGACCCTCGAAACCCCTCAGCTAGCAGGACAGAACCAGATGTACGTGTTCAGTTCGGAAGTCAGGGACTTGTTTCTGGGGTCACCTTCACCGGTGATTCCAGTGCGTGTGCGAGCCGAAGCCCCAGTACCTCAGTGTTAGGGAAACCCTGGAAGAAAACAATCTGCTCGCAGTGACCTTAGGTCCTAGAAGTGTAAGTACTACCGAGGACAGCAGTGACCCTGGTCACCCAGCCACCAGGCTCCTGCCTTTCTACCTCTTGCTACCAAATGCGGCCGTACAAAGCAGTGCTTCCACAAAGTGTTGTCCGGAGTCACAGTGGCACGTAGATGTCCAGGAACCAGGCAGAGGCTGAAGCACTGATTGTGCCACCAGCACCCTGTCGTCAGCCTTCGCCCAGAAGCAGCAGTGGTTTCGTTCAGTGGTTTTTTTCCTGTTTTTGTGCAGTTGGAAACCAGAGTTCACACTTGGGTCCGTCATGTGTTTTTCACGTTTCACAAAAGCATTTGTGCTGATTAGGTTTTACACCCCCCTCTCCACCCCAGAGAGCGTCGTGTTGGTCACGTCACTAGATCTGTGTTTTCTACCTGTTCTGGCTCAGGCTTCCCCACAGACCGTGGCCCTGACCCAGGCCACAGCGGCTGGGCAGCAGGTGCAGATGATCCCCACGGCGACCGCAGCCGCACAGGTGGTGCAGCAGAAGCTCCTGCAGCAGCAGGTCGTGACGACGGCGGCGGCCCAGCTGCAGAGCCCCGGCGTCCCCAACCCAACCCAGGGGCCAGCCAGCGCCGACAGCCCCAGCCAGCAGCCCAAGCTACAGATGCGAGTCCCTGCCGTCAGGCTAAAGACGCCCACCAAGCCTCCGTGCCCCTAGTCCCCAGAGCGGGGTGGCCACCGTATCCCCCGCCCGCGCCCCCAGCCAGAGGCGGGAGACTGTTGTTGAACCTTGGGACGATGTCATTTGAGGTGTTCAGCACTTGCACAGTCATCCTTGAAACGGAGCACTGTCATTGTTTTCTCATGCTGCCCACCATGGGCGCCAGTGATCCTTACTGTGCGCCCTGTTCTGTAGAAGGAGACGAGTTGAAAAAGTGACAGTGGTGATTTTGACTTCCAGTTTCTCCTCGAGAGCGATAGTGCTGGGCCTCGAAGCCACTTAGAAACCCCATTAGTGCGCCGTGTCTCACGCATCCCAGTAGCTGCGTGGCGTGTGTGGGGACTCGTACAATACTTGCTGAAGCCAAATCATGGTCTTTGGCCGCATCTGCCTGTGTGCGGTTCTGTGCACCCACAGAAAACCCGCTCGGGGCCTTGGAGAGGACAGAGGCTGTCTGCCACAGAGCAGCTCAGACCTGGGGAGGTGGGTGTGCTTCCTTCTCCGTCCTGAGATGTGACTGGTTTGGACACTTACAGGAAATGTTCAGCACAGATGCCCATTGAAGCTCATTTGTGTGCTGGGTCAACGCGGTCCCATCTCTGGTTGAATTTTCATTCTGAAGAGCAGCCAGTGTGGCTTCCCCCCGGCTCTGCCCACAGCATGACTGGTTCCTGTCCCGGCACATCCAGGACGTTTCCCGGCCTGGGGAGGACGCTCGTGCTTGGACTTCGCGCACTGAAGCGGCTCTGGCAGACTTTGTGAGGCTCCTGTCTTGGACAGGTTTGGGCCCAGAGCGCTCCGCGGATGGCCTGTGGCGCAGGGGTCACTGCCGTGTGAGAGGCGAGGTGCCCGGTTAGAGTGGGATGCCTGGCATCGCCCCCTCACTTTCCTGCCTGTCCCGGGCGTGATCTGCTGACGTGAGAAACCGCCTTGAACGCGGTGACTTATTTATGAGCCTGCAGGCGTCACCTACAGAAGCGGGCGTAGCGAACCCCTCGCCGCCAACTCGGAGCAGGCTTCTGGTTCTCGTCACGCGGGGGTCTCAGCTGTGAGCAGCTGCCCTCCTCTGGTTCCGTGGGGAGCGGAGAACCTTCTATGCCGTGTGTGTGGGCAGGGGTGGGAGGCCCTGTGTTTGCTTCTGTTTTGTTTTTTGATGACGGCAAGATAATAGTTTCTACAGTGGGCTCGAGCAGCTGATGTCTGCTCACCTGGACGTTTTTGCCCAAGCAGAAGCACGTGTTCTATGACCGCCTCTCTGCTCTGCCTCCGGACCTCTTGTACCTTACTCGGTCCTGAGAATCCGGTTGCGTCAGGCCTGTGTGGAGCTTTTACCTGCCAGTTTCACGTGCTCTCCCGTCCTCGTACCATCTAAGTGACACGAAGGAAAGTGCACTGTGTGTTTCTGTTCCGTTCAGTGTTATGTGGACGGTAACATGGGGGCCGTTAGCGAAGCCGACCCAGCAGCTCACTGTCAAGTCCGGGTGAGAGTTTGGAGAGGCACTTAACAGTTCCGTCATCTTGAACGTATCGCAAGAGTCCTGTACTCTGTTTTCTCAGCACCGCACCTGCTGGCTCTGGTTGGGCAGGCGCCGTCAGGAGAGAACGCGGGGTGCGGGAGGCCCTGTGCACACTTTTCACGTGGGTGTGTGGGGCTCCTGCCTTTCTCTGTCCCCAGACATGCGGAGCTACCATGCATGGAACCCTCTCCTCTCAGCTTCTGATTCGTGCACCCTGTCCGTTTTCCTCTCGTCCCTCGTGCTGCCGGCAGTTTGTGTTTGGAGGAGATGGTGGGCGCGGCTGCCCAGGCGGCGGTCCTCTGTTAGTCTGGACACCGGGAGAGAATTCGCAGCATCTCTCAGAACTGACCCGGGGTTCGGAGCCCCCGCCCTTTCTCAGTGCGTGAACGGAGTCTCATCTCAGGGCATTTCCTTGGCGTGTCCCCTAAGGCAGAGTACGGAGCAGGACGCGTGTTACTTGGGTTTTTCTGAGACGTCGCCAGCACCCCCACTGGTGACTCGGGTAGGCCGCCTCCTCCCCGTGCGCCGTTTCTCGGCCTTCTGTCGTCAAGGCTCCCCATCCGTGTTTCAGAATTGAGTACAGGTGTGGGGGCTGGTCCCGTGAGCGGAGTCCCGCAGCGGCCGTGAGCTGGGGTTCTTGCCGGGACGGGACGTAGCGGCCAAGGCTAGAGACGGCAGCCGGAGCGCCATCAGACTCCACCGCGAGGAGCAGCCGCCCGTGTTCTTTACTGAGAGACGTGGGCTCTAATGAAGGGCAGGAGGCTGTTTGTAAGGCCCCCGTGGGAAACGGGAAGCCGGGCCCCGTGCTTGTTTGGATTTGGTGCCTGATGAGGCAGGGCTTTCCTGTCCCAGGTCTCCACCATCTTCCGTTCCCTGTATAACCAGATGGCGGTTGTGTTGTAAAATATAAAGCAAGAAGACTGAGATTGTAAATATTTTGTAAACATGACCATTTGTACTTGAACAGTAGGATTTTAAAAAGGGCACTGGTATCCCGCCAAACAAAAGGTGTAATAAAATGACCTTTTTGTATGTTTTCTCCTCTTTTGTTTCATAGAAAACTAGTATTCCCATTCAAACAAGATGCTCGTTGTGTTTGTTACATTTGTGTGAAGGAAAAACAAAAGGAAACACGTGGGGTTGGAGGCAGAGGCCTGGCCCCTGCTCCAGAAGGAGTGGAGCTTGCTCACTCGGCGGCTCTCGGTGAAAGCCACGCTGTCTGTGGAGACCGCGCGCACCCAGCCAGCCCTTGTGTGCCACGGCCACAGCAGAGGAGAGCCCGGTGTGTTCGGAAGCCGCCGCACTCAGCGGCACGCTGTCCGGTGGAGCCCCACACGCGCTCTGCCCTGCTCCTCTGAACAGGCGGCCTGCACGTGTTACTTTTCTTCATCATCTCTTTCGTTTTTAGTTTTTTTGTTAAAAAAAATTTTTTTTGCTGATTACAAAAAATAATACCTACTTTTCTCATACAAAATGCGCAACTTCATAGAAAGCTCAGAAGTGCTCCCAAGAGATCTGAGGGCATTTTTGGCATCTTTTCTTCTGCTGCAGAAGGGAGGCCAGGCTCCTGTGGTATCTCACCTGTGTCCACAGGCCTGGCTGGGGGAGATCAGGGGGAACTCACTCACTGCCCTCTGCCAAGTGCCTGCCTGGTGTGGAGACGATGGGGCGCTTGGGACCTCTGTGCTCCGTGGCTGCGGTGGGCCCGCATAGCCGTGTGATGTGGCCATTGACTTCACTTTCCAGGGTCTCCATTTCTTCCTGTGTCCCCCTCTCCCGAAGTGGTTGAGACATGTGGAAAGCACTTAGCCTCTGGCACCTGCACTCAGTAGATGAATTCATTACGATTGTTCTCAGTGGAGAAGATGATGCATCTTCTGACCCATTCATCACCACGACCCTGTGCTCACATGTTCACCAACTGTTCAGAAGCCTGCAGCTCTAGGGCCAGAGCTGGCCCAAGGCCGGATTTCTGTGTGCATTCAAGGTGGGGCGCGGGCCACCAAGTACAGTGATCCTGCCCTCTGGCTGTAGTGGGGAGCACCTCCCGCGGGTCCATCTGCCACCACCTCCAGTGCCCGGGCCGTCACTTTGCCCTGTAGGCTTGCCCGCAGGCCTGCTGACCATGACCAGCTTTAGAGGGCTCACTTAGATCTCTCGCTTAACTAACCTGCTGTCTGCTGTCAGATGCGACATCAGCCCCTGGCAATGTGCTTTCCACTCTCCGTGTTAGCGGCTGTGGTTCTGGGGTCCTTGGCCGGCGGGATGGGGCTTGGGGGGAAACCTCTGCTGTAGGTTCTGGGCAGCAGTTCTTCCCTTCTGTGTCCTGGGCCTGCATCACCCATACCCCAGGGCTCCATCTTACAGATAAATTATGGTACGTATGTTCTGTGACATAGACCTTAGCTACTAAGAGCTGGGTCGGGCTGCAGAATCCAGAATGGAAAGGTCCCTCCAAGGTTTAGCCAGTGAGAAGGTGCAGAACTGTCCGGGGTGCTGTCAGAACGGAACTGCCTGGACTCCTGGATGTGCCCAGCATATCCTGGGAAGGTGGTGTGTTGGCTGCCTCTGGGGAGGGGAAGGGAGTGGGGCTTCTCAGGGATGAAGGGGTGTCTGCTATTTGGCATACCCATTAGGATGGTTTAAGCAGTCTGCCAAGTACACGAACTAATCATTTTTAAATAAGGCTCTGAAAATAGCGTGTTGGTCATGTGCTCCCACTGCTCGCTGCTCGGGAACCTTCACGGGGCAGGTTCCAGCTTCCGTGCCTGACCCCGTGAAGCTCCCGGGGCTGATGCACAGCATACCCTCTGCCCTTGGGACAGCCTTCATTCCCCCCAAATTTCGCCTTACCGTTCTGTCCTCTGTTGTCAAGTGTGTTTTCTTCTTCGAGGACCAGCCCATGTAGTGTGTGCTCCTTCATCCCTGCCCCGGTAATGTTCTCCCGCAGGACCTTGTACTGGACAGTAGTATTGGGTTCCCCGGCTGCACCGCTGTTCTGTCCTCCCTCCGTTCACAGCAGTTGCTGAAACTTTATCACTAGGGGTGTAGTAGAGTCCCCTCCCTAAGGAATGTGGTAAGAAAAGACCTCAAGATAAGGGAAAGCCACCTGGCTACCTGACATCCCTCACGACCCTGTAACATGAGACCACCCAATCAGACCGTGTGTCTATCCACTACCCATATATGGGAGACAAGGCGAAAATGCATAAAAGACTACACCACGTGGCATTCAGGCGCAAACCCAACTGAGCCAGTGCTGGCACAAATAAAGTTGCTTCCCGGAAAGAAAAGCCTCAGTGTCACGACTCTGTGCAACAACTTTCTGTGCAACAATCCTGCTACAGTGGTGGAAGTTGTTTTTTTTTTTTTCCCATGATCAACAACTTGACTCTTTCCTTCAAGAAAATACTAATGAGCGGGATGGGTGAATTACTGGTTTATTCAGATGATGTTTATTGAATGCGTACTACACTGTTTGTTGTCTCTGCCCGGAGCTATAGGTGTGCACAAAACAGAAAAGGAGGTGGCCTTCTAGCAGGCCAGACATGACCGTCCTGAACGGGAGAAGCACCGGAGAAAGACCTCTGGGTTTACACTTCGGAGAGCTCACCCTGTCTGGCTGGGAGGCGTCATCAAGGCTTCCTAAGTGAATCCGAGACACCGTGGACATCGCCCTGGTCACAAGAACAAAAGCTACGCTCGCGGGCCTTCAGATCCCAGGCCAAAGTGCCTCGCCCCAGCCTAAAGTAGGCACTGGACCGCCCCGCCCATGTGCCCGAGGCCAGGGACGAGGTGGGCGTGGCCAGTGTGGCGGACCGCGTCCGGAGGATGGACTGGGCGGGTGCCCGGGAGCACGCGACGAAGGCCGCAAGCCCCGGCTCGAGAACAGAGCAGACGCAGGCTCCGGGCCGCCCGAGACCGGAAGCAGAGGAGCGCGCAGGCGCCAGACGCGACCTGTGTAGGTCCCGCCCACTCCGGTGGGCCCGTGTCGCGCCTGCGCGCTGCGTTGGCCGGCACGCTGGGTCTCGTCGTGGACCGGGGTGCTGCGGCCACGGCTGTCTCCGCTCTAGTACCTCACCTGGAGTTCGCGCCCCGGTGACGCCCCCTGCCCGTGGTTGGTGGTGACCCCCGCCTCGGTGACAACTGCCTTCGTGGCGACCCCGCCGCGTGACTCCCGCTCTGACGTGGACCCCTCCCGCGGTGGTGACTCCGCCCCGCCGCCGACCCCCACCCCGTGACGCCCTGCCCTGCCCACTGGGCCCACGGGGGGCGGGGGGGGGGCGCCCTGGTCACCGGGGCGGTCCCCCTGCGGCGAGCCTCGGCCACTGCGGTACAGGGCGCGGGAACAGCGACTGGTCCCCCCCCACCCCCCCACCCCCCCGGAGAAAAAGGGAAAACGCTTCGGCTCGAAGGCCGCGCGAACCTCCTTGCGCGGAGAGCGGCGCGGCGGGGCTACGACCCTGCCCCCAGGGCCTCACCCCGGGCCCCCGGGGTCCCCGCGCTGCTCGCTCGCGTTTGTGTCCTGCGGGCTGAGAGCCGCGGCGGGTGCGGACCGAATAGAATGTTCCCCTTAAAGGTGCGGAACGGGCGCCCGGAGGCTCAGTGCGTTAAGCGTCTGACTCGGCCTCAGTCCTGATCTCAGGCTCCCGAGTCCAAGCACCAAGTTGGGCTCTTCGCCTTTAAAGAAAAAAAAAGGGAGGGGGGGGGGGAGACAAATACAAGGAAAGATGGTGTGAGGCCGCTGCCCCTGGGCAGGCCTCCCGGCACCCCGGGCCTGGCGCTACAAACCGGAAGTGACCGTTATAGCGGTTTGCTCATGATTTTCGGGAAGGACCCCAAGACCTGTGAGGTGTCGCACGTTCAGCCAGGAGGGCAAAGGGCTTTGAAGGGCTCGTGGTCGCGGAGGCAGAAGAGCCTGCGGTTCGACCCTGCGCCTCTGGCCGCTCCCTCCAGCTGCCCCGCAAGTGATACCGTCGTTTCAGGGTTGTTTTAAAAACGACTTTGATTTGCCAAGGCGATTTTTCTCTTGTATCTTAGAATGAAGCATGTTTTATTTTATTTTGAAATGTTTTTATTTATTTTTGAGAGAGACCAAGCAGGAGAGGGGCAGAGAGGGCGAGACCGGATCTGCAGCGCTGTCAGCACAGAGCCCAGCAAGGGGCTTGAACTCACCAACGCAGGTCATGACCTGAGCCGAGGTTGGAGGCTTAACTGACTGAGGCCCCAGGCGCCCCAGGATGGAGCATATTTTTTTTTTAATGTTTTATTTATTTCTGAGAGAAAGAGAGAGAGAGACAGCGTGAGCAGGGGCGGGTCAGAGAGAGAGGGAGTCACAGACTGAAACAGGCTCCAGGCTCCGAGCTGGCAGTCAGCACAGAGCCCGACGCGGGGCCCGAACCCACGAACCGTGAGACCATGACCTGAGCCGAAGTCGGACGCTCAACCACCTGAGCCACCCAGGCGCCCCGGATGGAGCATATTTTTAAGTAAGTTTTTAAATATTATGAAACACATCCTCATAATAAGAATCTGAGCAATATAGAAAAATTAGAATTCCCTCCTGTGCCCCCCTCCTTCTTCCTCCCTTCCTCCTCCCCTGCTTTTTGTTTTTACTTAGCAGGTGAGTAACAACCGTTCAAGTCAGGACATGGATAAACAGCAGTCCACGGCGAGGTGACGCCGTCCTCACTCACTCCCCACCGCCGGGCCTCGTCTGGGGCCTGGCCTGCGCCACGCCGGTCACGCTGAGACAGGCGTGCTGTCCGTGGACTGGGTCCCGTCTCTGGGGCCTGCGCTGGGAGAGTGGGTCACCGCGTGAACGTACTTAAAATCTTAACGTTAGTCCGCGCTGACAGTATTTCCCAGAAAGTGACAACAGTTGACACAGCCGTGCTCTTTGCCACCCAAAGGGTGAAAGGCGTCCTGCTTTCCCCTGGCTGCTGGTTAATACCCGTGGCTCTGGGGAGTTTGTGTTCTTCTAACTAATTTGTAGGAGCTCTTTGTATATTAGGGATTTTGTCCTTTGCAGCCATAA